AGTTACCAACATACTCATAACTTTATAACTTACACTTTAGAACATTTTAGTTATGTGGGACAGGCTTGCTGAAAGTTAATCACTTCCTTTAATCCAGAATCTAGCTGATGGTTAAAAAAAGTCATTATTCATTCCAACATGAGGACATAAAAACGGTGCATCTGTATAACAGCAGATGGAAAGAAACAGCAAATTTTCACTCTGAAAAATAGGAGCTGAGAACACTAATGTCTCACTTCTCATAGCACTAAATCCTGGACAGTGGCAAAAGTAGAGTTACCTTGTGCTGGCTGCAAGATTTTAGTTTTTAAATCTTTCAGTCAAGAAAGGTATTTCTAACAGAGTCCAAAACATTCCTGTTTCAGCCCAGTCTGCAACAGGTGAGAGATTCAGTGTGAATTTTACTGGACAATTTTCTGGAGGACAAGTTGAAACAATGATCGTGGTCCATTTCAAACTTTTAATATCTCAAGCACATGCCATTGCCACTGACTTAGAAACTCTCCCCAGTGTGTACTTCTACTTCCATTTATTCACCCTTCAAATGAAACAGTAAATACTATAGCTTGACACCCCATTTATGAAGTGTCCTGTAAGGCAGGAGTTGTTCCCACTTACAAAATTATATTCTTGGATTTGCTCTCTACAAGGCAAGTTGGAAATCTACAACACAGAGATGCTCTGTTGATATTGTACTGTAGGGACGAAACAATAAAAATAAAACCCATGCTTTTCATGACCTGGGAAACATCTGTGTGTTTTCAGAATTGGCTTCTCTGAGCTTTCCAAGTTTGTAGTATGAAGAAAATGAATCATGTTAATGGGAAAACTTAAATAAACTTTTTTAAAAATATGGTTTCATAATTTTAGTTCAGAGTGTCCTTTCCTGTTACCTTAATTTTCTTGGAAGATTTCTGGTATAACCCCTTTTCATCTCCCAGTATCTCTGCCCCAGGTGAAAGCATTTGGTCTTTTGTATCACTGGCAACCTGCCTGAAGATGCTGCTGCCTTTCCACGTTCCCACCTATTTGAGATCCTTTCCTATACTCATTCAGCTGGTGGTGCTTACTTCAGATTACCATCACCGAAGTGCATCAAATCACAGGGACAGAACGTCACCATCACAGTCGGCAGGCCATGGATACCAAGGGAACCCCAACATCTGTGTTCATTCTTGAGGAGGGAATAACATCAGGAGAGGCTTTATCCCTAAGGGCCACCTCCAGGATGAAATCCAGCTGCCGCACAGCATCTCCCGAAGCCTCGCTCTCCACTGGCGCCTAACTCGGGAGAAGACTCGGGGCAGGACTGCTGTCTGCCCGGGAGAGGATTTACTTCGCAAGCCCCGTCCTCACCGAAGAAGAGGCTTTAAGCGCGGGAGCCCGTGCGGAGGATGCACATGCCGGCTTCCCGAGGAAGGCCGCCCGTCGGGGCTCCGCTGCCCCTCGCCCGAGAGGGAAAGGCTGCCCGCGGTGGCGGCAGCAGTCGGCCAGGCAGCAGCAGCGGCCATCAGGTAG